TTCTGAAGAAGGGTCTAGGCCCGAAACGTCAGCCTTCCTGCTCCTCTGATGCTGTTTGGCCTGCTGTGTTCATCCAGCTCTACACCTTGTTATCTCAGATTCCCCAGCATCTGCAGTTCCTATCACCTCCACATCTTGACAAGGAGAGGTTTGGATCTTTTAAACCCCAGAATACAGCGGCATAAAGGGGTGCCTGATTTGGCCTTCACGGAAGTGGTATTTCTGAAGAAGTCCAAATTGAACATTCAGGCTAGAAATACAGATCTCCAGAGAACAGTAAGCAAAAAGCAGACTGGCTTTCCGACCATGATTAATACTTCTTAGCAGATGCAGTTCCATAATTTGCTGCTAAGTTCCTCCCTTAGGTACCTATGAGAACATGAAGATGATTTATGTTCCTTGATTTTTATTTCTTTGCTTTTAATCTTTAAATCCAATTAGTTAGATTACAGAAATATTCTACATTAGTGCCAGATTCAAGCAGATGTTCCAGTCGAGGAAGTCTGCATCTAAAGCCCAGTTTTGAGATCAGAGGCAAGCACAAAGGTTAACATGAAGAGTAAGTGGTTACTCTTAGATCTGAGGAAATGTTTTTCACCCAGAGGGTGGTAGATATCTGGAATGTGCTGACTCTGAGGATGGTGGAGACAAGTACCATCACAACATCTAAGAAGTATTTGGATGAGTACTTAAAATGCCAGGACAAAATAAGCTATGGACCAAGTGCAGGGAAATAGGATTCGTGTGGTTTGGTGTTTGTTGGTAAGCATAGACATGGTGGGCTGAAGTGCCTGTTTCTATGCTATATCACTCTATGACACTTTTGCTGACTACAAAGTCCAGGCCAGTGGCTAATCAGCATGAAAACTGTTTTCTTTTGAGGGGTGACCTTATAGAGGCTCATGAAATCATGAGGGGCATTGTTAGGATAAATAGACAAGGTCTTTTCCCTGGGGTGTGGGAGTCCAAAACTAGAGGGCATAGGTTTAAGGTGAGTGGGGTAAAATTTGAAAGGGACCTAAGGGGCAACTTTTTCATGCAGAGGGTGGGGTGTGTGTATGGAATGAGATGCCAGAGGAAGTGGTGGAGGCTGGTACAAATACAACATTTAAAAGGCATCTGGATGGGTCTATGAATAGGAAGGTTGAGGGATATGGACCAAATACTGGCAAGTAGGACTAGATTAATTCAGGATAGCTGGTCGGCATGGACAAGTTGGACCAAAGGATCTATTTCCATGCTATACATATGTAAGACTCTGGTATGAAAATTGACAAATACCATCAATGTATTCTGTCTTTTAAGTTTGTGCTCGACCTGACACTCCTTCCATCTTTGCTCATCTAATCTACCATCATAACCTTCTATTCCCTTCTTCCTCAAACATGTCACATGAATGAGAGAAAACAAAGTGCTGGAAAATGGGTTTAGAATTGTTTGGTACTTATTTTTGACTGGCGCAGAACTAAATGGGCCAAAGTTTCTTTTTCTGTGCCTTAGACCTCTGTGACTATGACTTGTCTAGTTTTCCCTTAAATGCATCAATATTGTTTGCTTTGACTACTCCCTGTGCTTTTTCTTGCTACTCACCTAAGGGTGTTTCTTGCATTCTCTATTGGATCTCTTAGTAGCTATATTAACAACTTCTGGTTATGCTCTTTCCCACAACAGAAAATATTCTGTGTCGATTGTATCAAAATTTTAACAAAATGTCAAGACCCCTAGTTGCCCTTCATTTTTCAACTCAATCTGTACTCCTGTAAGTTGTTGTAGTCTTCTTCAACATTGACCATTACTCCTGCTTTTTCCCCAGTTCAAAATTTGGTGTCATCTACGAACTTTTTAAAAAAAAAGGGCTTTGATTTCAAATTCCAAATTGTTTACAGCAACCTTCTGCGAATCTGAATAGCTATCCAGCGTTCCAACTCTGATTTCTGCCTCTAAGCCAGCTGGCAATCTGTTCTAGATAAGTGCGGAGCTGGAGGAACACAGCAGGCCAGGCAGCATCACAGGAGCAGGAAAGCTGACGTTTGGAGTCGGGACCCTTCTTCAGATGCTGCCTGGCCTGCTGTGTTCCTCCAGCTCCACACTGTGTTATCTCTGACTCCAGCATCGGCAATTCTTACTATCTCTGGCAATCTGTTCTGCAGTCTGCAGTGCCCCGCCTCAACATTCTCCTAATGCTGCTCATTTAGTCAGTTACGGGGTATCTTATTGCTAGCATTTTGAAAATCCAGATAAATTAGATCTGTATCATTATTTACTGGCACCACCTCACACAATCATTAATGTTGGGCAAGTGATATTTTCCCATTTAGAAAACATACTGACTATTCATCATATTTGTCATTTATAGATGCACTAATTTCTCCTTTGTTAAGTGACGATTATTTTACCCACCACCAGTGATAAACTATCTGGTGTGTAATTTTCTAGGTGTTTTCTGTCTTCTGTTCTCTGACATGACACCACGGCTGCTCTACTAAACCTAACCGCTTATCCAGAATAGAGCAGAATTGTTTTTTTCTCTTGTATGTATTGCATCTACATAACAATGCAGATCGTTGGTGAGGATCCCACAACAATAATGTATTGATGGATTTAGTTACAACAAATGACCAAAGTACAAAGAAGGGATAAAGGTGGAAACTTTAAAGAAACCAATTAATGAAGTAAAAAACAGAAATTGCCTGCTGAGTTTTTCTAGCATTTTTCTGTTTTTGTACTGTATTACCGGCAGCCACAAAATTTATTGCACATTTGAGTTTTAAGGATATGTGGAAAAAATTTGGAAGGTTGATGGAACAGTTGCAAAAGAATAATTTTAATATGAGAAATAATTTCATCCCTGACATGGCAATAGAGAAAAAAGTGAAATAAGTGTGGTTTACTGGCAAAGTTGTACATCTTGTTAAGGCAGAAGAGAAAGCATGAAGAAGTAATGTTTAGGAAAAAAACACGATGGGCACATAGAACATAGAACATTACAGCGCAGTACAGACCCTTTGGCCCTCGATGTTGCGCCGACCTGTGAAACCAATCCGAAGCCCATCTAACCTAAACTATTCCATTATCATCCATATGTTTATCCACTGACCATTTAAATGCCCTTAAAGTTGGCAAGTCTACTACTTTTGCAGGCAGGGCATTCCACGCCCTTACTACTCTCTGAGTGAAGAATCTACCTCTGACATCTGTCCTATATCTATCACCCCTCATCCATAGGGATAAGCTGAGAAAGTAAGGAAATACCGCTTTCTAAGAAAACTTGAGGAATCACAGAATTGTTGGGGCGCAGAAGGCCATTCAGCCCATTGTTCCTGCATTGATTCTATTCCCTGGCACCAATTTCTTGCCTTTCCCTATATCCCTGCTCACTGTCTCTATCCAATTGTCCTCCAATGACTGGTTGAATGCCTCAAGAGCTGAGAAAAAGTAAAATAATAAAGCATTCTTCAGGGAAATCAGCATAAACATTGAGTGAAAGCAGGGCTTGATCCACTGTAGTAAAAACTGAAAACGCTGAAGAAACTGAGCAGATCTGGCAGCATCCGTGGAGTGAGAAACAGAGTTAATGTTTCTAGTCCCATCTGACAATTTTTCAAAACTGCAAGATGCTGCCAGAGCTGCAGAGTTTTTCCAGCACATCGTTTCCATTTCAGATCTCCAGCATTTGGACTTTAATCCACTATAATGTGTTTACAGCTGATTAATTACTTTTGGATGTCCTAAATTCTTTCTTTTTTTTAACAGATTGCAGGCACAGATGGAGAACTAAGAAAATTCAATGGATTTTGATGAGGAACTCAACAGATTCTTGTCAGGAAATGTGTTTTAAAGTTAATAGAAACGCACCAAGGATAGTTGTAATTAGATTTCATTTTATCTGAAACTACCACTATGTCAAAGAAAAAAATAACTTGCATTTTAAATCCTCAGTTTCTTAGTTTTTTCCGTACAAGATTTTCTGTCCTCAGCTAATAGACTCGACAGAACCACACAGATTAAATTTTCATCAGTTTTCACAGTTGCAGAGTTTGAATTTCATTTTGATCAATATGTAAAAGCATTGTTTGTTAACTCAAATCCCTTTCAGAATTCAGTCCACTAAGTTGCCATTGAATCTATAAAAATAGTAGCTAGCCCAGAAAAAACTATTATGAGGATTAAATACAAGTTTCTAAAACCATGCTCTAATTTGATTGTTGCATGTGAATACATATAAAAATGCCAAATTGGGATTAATTGTCTCTAAGTAATCCAGGTTATTCATTCAGTTCCTGTTCCCAATTCCAGCCTCCAACGCTTTTCAAATGCAAGGCAGCGTATCTTAATTGTACAGCAGAGTTGCAATAATTGGTAAAGTTAGAAAAGAATTCTTTGAGATGCTGCATCCTAGTAAATTTGTGACCTCACATCACAAGAACATTTAGCTCAGCTCATTCAATGGTTCAGCTGGTAAAGTAAGCCTGTAAGTGTAATATGGTGTCTGATCTGTATAGACCAGAAACTAGAGGTAGTTGATCCCAAAGTGACTGCATGGCTTGCAAAGAACTGAATTTCAGGGTTAGGTTGGAAGTGGGATACAAAATAAAGAGACATCGTTTTTCATTCTGATGGCTTAATACTAGAAAGTCCACACTGATGTCAAGGAGGTTGGTATTTTCCCTACCATTTAAAACTTTATATATCTTACTGATTCTAGGTTTTCTCCTTTACTGTTGAAATGCTGGCATTCTGCACATTGAAAAATTTATTGATAACAGCACAAACTTTATTATCTGTCAATTTCATATTTTTGTTTGCCTGTTGTTCGATGTACTCCTGACTGGTCCCTCACATTCTACTCTCGGTAAACTGGAAGTCATCCAAAAGTCTCTGCACACATGTAATTCGAACATGTTCCTCTTCCCATCACCCCCTGCTCTGAGCTAAATTGATTCCCAGATGAACAATATGTCAGTTTTAAAATTCTTGTTCCCATTTTGAAAGCTTGCCAATGACCTCGCCCATGCCCCCATTTCAAACCTCCTTCAGCCCACAACCCTTAAAGATATCTACCCTCATCTGCACCTGGCCTCTTCTGATTTTTCTAGCTTCTCATCGCTGATTTTAATTCCACAACGGTTGGTGGTTTCATCTTAGTTGCCAAAGCTTCAAACTCTGGAATATCTTTCCTACACCTCTCCTGCTCGCTACCTCAATTTCATCTTGTAGCTATTCCTTTAAACCTAATTTGGCCAAAGGTTTGATCATCTGAATGTTATTCTTTTGTAGCCATGTCATACTTTCTTTTAAATAATGCGTCTATGTATTATTTCTTTTGTTATATAAACAGAATGGAGAAGGCTGTATGTAGTTGTAATGTCACTGGGCAAGTAATCCACTGCCCCAGGTTAATGCTCGAGAGACGCGGGTTCAAATCTCACCAAACGCAATCGGTGAAATTTAAATTCCATTCATAAAGCTGGAATATAAAACTAGTCTCGGTATTGGTGACCCTGACAGCTATCATTGTCTGAAAAACCAAAGCTGCATCTGGCCCACAAATGCCCTTTGGGGAAAGAGGTCTGCCATCTTTGTGTGATCTGGCCTATATTTGACTTCAGACACATAGTAATGTAGTTTACTCTGAAATGTTGTCTGAAGTGGCATGGCAAACTATTCAATTCAACAGCAATTATGGCAATGCCCATGTCTCGTGAAAGAAGACAGAAAAAAAATTGTTCAGTTTGTGGTTCTTTTTCCATTTTCCACACTGTATACTGTCACATACGTAAATAGAAATTGCTAGTTTTCCTGCTGTTAAGATTATTGTTAACTACTTCAAACAGGCATGTAAAGCCTTGAACCAGATAAGTGTTACACTCTTTTTTGGTGCATTACTTTCTTTCAATTCAAAAGAGGAGAGAGAACTTGAGGGAAAGCAGTGATTACGTTTAACGGAAAAGCAGCAGAGACAACAAGCCTGAGAAGGTAAGTCATAGTTTAAACAGAGCTTAGATAAAGAGAAAGCAAATTCAAAATTTGGCAGTGAATTTGTTGGTATGATGGGCACATGTTCATTTATTATATGAAATTTTTCTACTGATTCACTTGAGAATTTTTGTTGTGTTATGTTAAAAGATTTCAATTACAATGCTTTTAGTCAACATTACTGTTTTTGTACCTCATGTCTTGATGTTTAGAGTTCCATGCCAAGTATTTTTTGGTCAGCATCTCAGTAATTTGGAGATCAGTGAGTTGATTACCAGAGCTAGCACGGTCCTGTTGCGAGAGAATCCTGTATGAGGCAGAAACTCCAGGATTTCCTGGATATATGTGAACAAGAAATGCTGTCAGTTGCTTGAGCTCTAGGATTGAGTGGCTGGAGTCACTAAATCAGAAAGTTTCCTCAAGTGTATGTTCTTCCAGCACAGCTCAAGGAGATGAGTGTGTGGGAGTTTAACACAGGAAGTGCAAGTAGCACACACATTGACTACACAGGAGGGCAATGGCTCCTTGGAGGAATGCATCCAAGTTTAAGCACCCAGCACAGTGAGAGATTTACTTCATATAGCACAAAAGAAAGTGGGAATGGAGTCACTTGCATCACAAGGTGAAAATGCAGTTGTCATAGAGATTCAAGAGTTAGCAGCATATGAGTAGTTCTGGAACCGCAAGATGTTCCCAAATGTTTTGCAGTCTCTCTTGTGTCAGATAAAGGTTATTGCTGGGCAGGTTCAAGGCATTCTACCAGGGAAAGGGGGAACAGCCCCAAGTTGAGGCTATCTTCATCATAGAACACACTGAATGTGTGCTCTGATAGCTATATCTTGGAGGCCGTGTCACAGTAGCAGTCTACTGTTTTGTTTAGTACCATCATTCCCTCCTTTTTATTCCCACATTATTCCAGAAATATGTTTTGTTGGGAGCAAAGACATCAAATGAAGCAAGGTGACTAAAAACAGAAACACAACAGATTAATCAGCATCTGAAAGAAAAAAATGGGTTAATGTTGAACATTTCATTTAAAAAAAGGCATTGAAATTTGCTAAAATTAACGGATTTTAGCGTGAATGTGTATTTCACTGCTCCAGCATCCAGTGTCCTTTAAGATGGCAGCACAGCAATCTGTTCATTCCATTAACGCACCGACTATATTTTCAATCTGACCCAGTTTTATTTTGTAGTCTCTTCTCTCTTCTCTTGGGCTGACAGTAGATAGGCACAATGACTTGGCTCAAAATAAGCCCAAAATGTCAGTACAGTCATGCATTCAAGTATTAAGAGCATTTCAAGCAGAAAAATACATGATGTCAGGAAAATGCCTAACCCATCAGACAAATGCCTCTTTTCAGGGTTAGGAATTCTCCGTAGCACTAACTGTTCATGAATAGTTCACCACTCAGATGTCATAAGGATGACCTTTGCAGGTGTACAGAAAACATGAAATAATAGCCCCGAAACGTCAGCTTTCCTGCTCCTCTGATGCTGCTTGGCCTGCTGTGTTCATCCAGCTCTACACCTTGTAAGCTATGAAATAATAGGAAAGTGGGGTTTCCTAATCCTGGATTAGGGCATGAGCTATATTTCCTATGTAAGCATGATCTGGTGCAACACTGGTCGAAAGTACAAACTTAAACCTGAAAATACTCCATTTTGGATGATGCAAAGCAGTATTGTTGCTGCGTTGGATTTGGAGGTGACATTTTGGGATGCAAGATATGCAACAGTTTGACCTTTCCACAGTGCACACCAAAATTCAAATTAAAATCTGACTGATAAAGCAATGCATGTATGGCCGAAACCCAAACCTTCACAAAACTCCAATTTACAATGGAATCACAAGCTAACAATCTCAGCCTCTCTGCTCCTATGATGCTGCTTGGCCTGCTGTGTTCATCCAGCCCTGCACCTTGTTGTCTCTAATCTTAGCCTGTTTTTTTTTTTTAAAAAAGTATGCTATCTCCATGGTTTGTCGAACCTGAAAACAAACCATGGTTTGTTCACAACCATAAAATATAAGAAACAATTTCTATTTGTGTAGTGCAATTAATATAATCTGGCAATGTTTCACACATCATTATCAAACAAGCTATATTAGGTGACAAAAAGCCAGGTCAAAGAAAAGGATGGAGAGGCAGAACATTTTAGGGAGGGATTCCAGAGTTTATGACCTAGGAAATGATGAAGCAATGAAAACTGAAGAATTGGAGGAGTACAGAAATAGCAGACAGTTATGGGGCTGGATGATATTACAGAGATGTGGAGGGATGACGATATGTAGGGATTTTTAAAAACAGGAGTCCTCAGCATTCATATACATGGTTTGTCATGTGCTTAATCGGAAATAGCCTGATGATGTAGAAATTTAAAGATTGTTCTTCTGGCCCCTGGTCATGTCCTTCTCACCCAGGTTCTTGTTTTCTTCAGTGCTGTCATTATCCCTTTAATCACTCTACATTCTGATGTTGCACCAGATCTCTGCCTCTCCTCAAACTATTTCTCACTCCAGCTAAAATCAATTAATCAGAAGCATTCCGGGCTGGAATTATAAAGCCTGTGCATCTGTCAAACTTTAAACTATCTGATGCTATAGTTCATTGCATTTTTGCATTATAATGGGAGAATGCCCTGTCCTAGCCACTTAATCTGCCCATGTTTCTTTTTTTGTAATATTTCAGACCCTCAATGTTCCAGGTATCCACACATTGGGAATAAACATCAGACACCAAGTTAAACTTTAGTTAAACTTCAAACTCAAAGCTATCCCCACCTGCACATGTTGCCCTGAAGCAGTCTTTATTGATACACTTACTAATGTATTTATGTCAATGTTATGAACTTGGGATATCTGTCCAGTAGTTACCTACTTCTTAAAAAAAAATCAAAAAAAGGTCAGTCCTAATACATGTTCACTCAGAAATGTGTGAACTTTTAACAGATGATTGCTGGATCCTAAAAACTAATTTTACAAGTATGGAATCTCATTCCTTCATAGGTTAACTAGTGTTGCATGAGATTTAGGAAAAAGTAATTTTTAACTCTTATCCCCTTCTTTTCTAATCTCAGCTGTCCCAATGTTTATTCTGCTTTCTGTATATGATTTAAATCTAATTTATACTCTGGCAACTGTCAGTGACTTGAAGGATGGGCACTGTTCCTCTGCCACTTTCTGCATATTTGATCAATTGTCTGACTGTGAGAATCTGCAGCAAATGGTTTTCAATGTAGGAAAATGTGAGGTCATCCACTTTGGTCCCAAAGAAAATGTAGACTGTATTTTTAAAATGACAAGAGCAGGGAAATTTAGGGGCCCGGGAAGAGAAGTTACGAAACACTAGCAGTCCCGCACAAAAAATAATTTTAAAGAGCTATTGGAATGTTTACCTTTACCTGAGGGGAGCTGAAATACATATAGGATGGCAATTATATTACTGTTCAATCAAGCTCTAGATATCCTATTTACTATATTTATTTCTGGACTCTCCAGCTCCAGAAAGATAACTTGGCCTAGGTCAAAGAACAGTACAGATTTACCAGAACGATACTGAAGTTACATAAAAAGGACAGAAACTTAAATTCTGTTTTTATTCCCTTGGACATTCAAGATTACAGAGTGATCCAGCTGGGATGTTTAAGGATGTTGATAGTTTCTATCTACCCAATTTATGGGAGACAGTGTGTTGGGGAGTCTTGTGACAGTGGAAGTGCCCCTACCTCTGATTCAGGAGGCCTGGGTTAGTCCCACCTCTCCAGATGTGTGTCATAACATGTCTGAACAGGTTGATTAGAACTATCTATGGGAGTGTGGCATAATAATAATGTCAATAGACTATTAATCCAGAAGACAATACTTTTTTTTTATTAAACTCATTAATAGAATGTGTGGGTTTCTGGCAAGGCCAGCATTTATTGCTGTGGAGAAGGTAATGGTTGGCTATTGTTCATCATCTGTGGCAGTCCATGCAGGATAGGTTTAGCTACAGTGTTGTGAGAAAAGGAGTTCTAGGAGTTTGACTCAGTGATACTGAAGGAACAGGTAGTGTATGGCTTACAGGACACCTTGAAGTGGAGGTGGTGTACCCATGCATCTGCTGCCCTTGTCCTTGTAGATTGTAATGGTCATGAGTTTGGAAGAGGCTGTCAGAGGAACCTTAGTGATTTACCACAGTGCATCTTGTAGATAGTACACACTGTTGCAACTAAGTGTTGGTGTTGGAGGGAGTGGATGCTTGTGGATGTGTTGCCAAACAAGCGGCTGCTGGGTCCTGGATGGCAAGCTTCTTGAGTGTTGTCGGAGATGCTCCCATCCAGGCAAGTGGGGAGTATTCCATCACCAATGCTCAAATACAGCAGCTGGTGAAATTTAAATTTAATTAATAAATCTACAAAAATAAAACTAGTTTCGGTAATGTTGATCATGATAACTATCATTAGTTGTAAAAACCTATCTGGTTTACTAGTGTCCTTTGGAGAAGGCAATCTGCCATCCTTATCTGGTCTGGTCTACATGTGACTCCAAACACACAACAATGTGCTTGACTCTCAACTGCAGTCTGAAATGTTTAGATCAAGGGCAGTTAGAAATGATCAGTAAAATCTGATCTTGCCAACAACACCTGCATTCTGTGGAAGAATAAAGGGGAGAAAATCTGGAATGGAAGAGCCAGAGCTATCGTAAAGTACTTCTTCACACGTACCAGACAAAAAGTATGGTACTGTGTACCTTCATGGACAGCTGATCCAGTGGTTTGGATTGGGACTTGTACCACAGTGACCCAGTTAGATTTCTGTAAAATAAAGATGTGAAATCTGGACAGTTTTAAAAAAAAAAAATAGGATTAGATAGAGACAGCATGGATTTATGAAATGGAAAGCATCAGAATAGATGGGTGGGGGTGGTGGGGGAACCAGGTGAGGTGGTCATTTCAGATTTTCAAAAGGATTTTGATCATATCCCACACAAAATAGTTTTAAGAACAAAATTAGATTGCATTGAGTTGGAGGGGGATTCAGGTAATACACAGGTATGGATTGAGATACAAAACAGAGCAGAAAATTTTGCAGGCTGTGATTGGAAGGATACAGCAAGGATTAATGCTTGACTTCCAGAATTTACAGTGTAGATCAATGATTTGAACATAGGGGCCAGTTGTAATATTTATAAGTCAGCTAATGGCACAAAACGAGGTGGAAATGGGAGTTGTGCACAGGATAGGAAAAGGCTTTAAGGCAGTTTAACAGGCTGAGTGAGTGGGCAAGAACATTACATTTGAATATAATGTGGAAAAATGTCAGCTTATCCACTGTGGTGGGAAAATTCGAATGAGAGATTGGGAAGTGTTGATGCTCAAAGGGACTTGGGCATCTTTGTTGATAAATCACTGAAAGCAAGCAATTAGGAAGGCAAATGTATATTGTCCTCTATTGGAGAAGAATTTGACGACAGGAGTAAAGAGAGTTGGTGAGACTGCACCTGGTTTCTGCCTTTTTACTCAAGGAAGGATATACTTTCCATTGAGGGAGTGCAACAAATGTTCAACATTTCGATTCCTGGCTTGACAAGATTGTTCCTTAAGGAGAGATTGAGGAGACAGGGTCTAGATTTGCTGGAGTTTTGAAGCATGAAAAGTGATCTTCTTGGAACCTAGGGAATTCTACAGATTTGACTGGGTAGATGCAGGAATATGTTCCCCCTAGCTGGAGAGGACTAGGACCAGGGCTTCCATCTCAGAATAAGAGGGTAGGTCATTTAGCACGAAAACAAGAAAGGATTTCTTCATTTGGATGGTGCCGACTCTTCACAGCTTTCTATCCCAGGCGGCTGTGGAGTCATTAAGTATGTTCAAGACAAGCACCGATTAGATTCCTAGATGTTAAAGGCATCAAAGGATTTGGGACTGGTGCAGGAATATAGCACTGAGGTAGAAGATCAGCCATGATCTAGATGAATGGTGGAGCAGGCTCAAGAGGCTGAATGGCCAACTTCAATTTCCTATTTTACAAATGTATTAATTAGAAGCAGGAGTAGGCCACTCAGCCCTTCAAGTTTGCTCCTCTATTCACTAAAATCATGGATAATCTGATTACTCAATAATCCAGCCATCCCTGTAAATCCTTTCATCAAGGGATTATGAAACACTGAGGTGAAGTCAATTGAAAATGTCAGCTGGGATTTACATGCTGTTGCATATCCAAAATGACTAAGTGGAGGATCTAATTTTCTGGCCAAATCGGCTCCAGAGGCTGAATGATGACTCCCATTTCTATTTAAAAGGCTTCTAGGATATAAATCCATGCTCAAAGCGATACTTAGTCAAGCAGAACCTGCTGTGATCTCTGAACTGTGCTACGTTCACTGATCCTAACTAGGATGGTACTGTGACCCTACAACTGGTTCCCTACAGATACAGGTGTTCAACGACCTATGGAAATGTATTCAAGATTAATCCACATGTTCTCTAAAATCAGGGACTGGGTTTGGAGAGAACATTTAATACCTCAATTTCCCCAAATCTGTAATTTGAACAGGGCATAAGTAAATGTTTTGTATTTACTGAAAATGCAATCCAATCAATAGCTGAAGTGTGTTCCCAAAGAGGATCCCATTCCCCGATTTTTAAAAAAAAGCTGATGCAGGGATAATTTAAATTTTGCCAAGTCACGGCCATTTGAATCCTGTTCCAACCAAAATCGGTCTCCATTTGTTTTCCTTCCAGATTATCTATGCGAGATCTATCCATTATCTTTGATGTTTTAAATTCGGTAAATTGTCCATGATATGGCTTTTTGCAGAATCTACTATGATTCCAATTAAAACATAATCATTTTTCAAGTTCACAGGGCTTCAGATCTGCCAGAAGGAAAGGCAGGCCACACAATATGCTACACAAAGGGAATAAGAGAACAAATCTGTTACCAATTCAGGTGCAATAGATAAAAGAGAAAACAAATTACCTGCTTACGGAAAACTTGATGAACCTCATGACAGGACTGTCTCCCAAAAGCAAACACCTCACTGCTCCTGAATGCAAAGCATCCTAGAATTCAAGGCCAGCTGTAATATAGGAAGAGGAAGTTAGATTGAATAGCCCCAGCTCCTTACACTCAATAATAGGTATGCTGGGAATTGTAGTCTCAGACACAAAAACAAGTCAGCTGCAATCAACATGAACAAATACTAAAATTTAGAAGAATTTATAGCTTCAAGAAATAGTCTTTTTTTAAATTTGTTAAACAACAGCCTGTCATTTTAAAGACAAAAAAATGGCCAAAATTAAACACTCATGTTCGTTTTTGCAGTTGCAAGACAGCCAATTTGCTTAGTAGCCCATTGACCCGGAGCCAGAAGTTGTGATTTCCAAAGTCCACTTTATGTGCAACTGAATGAGGATCAGGCTGAACCCAGGTGTTCATTTTCAGTTAGCAGACTGGGGCCAGGCAATTGCTATTCATGCCCAGAGCTCAAAAATAGGACAGGGTTCCACCATAGAAACATCCTAATTCAAGAAAAGAGAGGACATTTCGTCCCACAGGTTGGCTCTCCCATTCAATAAATCATGATTCATTTGATGCAGCCTCAATTCGACTTTCCTGTTGGCCCCTGATACCAATTGACTCATTTGTCAAGAATCTTGGCAATGTCTATTTAAATTTTTTTTAAAATGTGGTAGTTATCTCAGGTTTACTACCAGTGCCATGGGCTAGTCAGAGTAGAAACAGCAGGATCTATGGGATGAACATGGGGCTGAAACAATGGTGAGGGGGAGGATTTCAAAATCCATGGGGCATTGGAACTGGTTTTTGGGGAGGTGGGACCTGTATAAACTGGATGGTTACATCTGGGCAGGACCAGGACTGATGTCCTTGGAGGTGATGGTGGGGGGTGGGGGTGGAGGGCATTCCTGGGTAGAGTGTTTGGGGAGGGTTTAAAGTAGTGTGGCAGGGGGATGGACACCAGGGCTATAGATACAGAAATTGAGGGAGAGTTAGAAACCAGGGCAAACGTGATTAAGAACAGGCTGAGAAAGGTCATTGAAAAGAGCAGGGGAGGTGGTCTGAAATGTGAGAAGTGTAATAGGCAAGGTAGATGAACTTAGAGCTTTTGTTAGTACTTGGAACTAGGACATTATTGCGATTACAGAGACTTGGCTGATGTTTCAAGTGTGATAGAAAAGGATGAAAAAGTGATAGGGGAATTACATTACTGTTAAAGGAGTATCTCTCAGCTGTACTGAAGGAGGATAAATCGGAGGACTCATGCAGCGAGGCAATATGGATAGAACTCAGGAATAGGAAATGTGAAATCACAATGTTGGAGGTTTACTAGCCTCCCAACAGCCAGCAGGAGATGGAGGAGAGAATAGGTAAACAGATTTTAGAAAGATGTAAAAACAGCAGGGTTGTTGTGGTGGGTGATTTTAACTTCCCCTATATTGACTGGGACTCCGTTCATGCTAGGAGCTTGGATGGAGCAGAATTTGTAAGGACCATTCAGGAGGGTTTCTTGACGCAGTACGTAAAACATTCCAACCAGAGAATGAGTTACACTGGACCTAATTTTGGGAAATGAGCCCGGCCAGGTGAGTGACTGAAGTTTCAGTGGGGGAACATTTTGGGAGTAGTGACCATAATACCATGCGTTTTAAGTTACTCCTGGATAGGGATAACAGCAGTCCTTGAGTGAAGGTGTTAAATTGGGGGAAGGCGAACTATAATGATATTAGGCAGGAACTGGAGAATTTTGATTGGAGGTGGCTGTTTGAGGGTAAATCCACATTGGACATGTGGGAGTATTTCCAATGGCAGTTGATAAGAGTTCAGAAGCAGCATATTCCTACAAGAATGGAGGATTGGTGTGTCAAGTTATGTGAACCTTGGATGACCAGGTATGTTATGATCTTGGTCAAAAAGAAAAAGGAAGCATACGTAAGGTCTAGGAGGATGGGAACTAATAAAGCCCTTGAAGTATATAAGGAAAGTAGGAAAGAACTTAAACAAGGAATTAGAAGGGCCAAACAGGAGTCATGAAAAATCATTAGCAGGTAGGATTAAGGAGAATCCCAAGGCTTTTTACATATGTACAAAAATCAAGAGGGTAGCTAGGGAAAGCATTAGTCCACTCAAGGACAAAGGAGGGAATCTATGTGTGGAGCCAGAAGAGGTAGGTGAGATCCTAAACAAGTACTTTGTATCAGTATTCACCAAAGGGAAGGAATTGGTAGCGGATGACCTCGGGGAAAGGAGTATTGATTTTCTAAACCAAGTTGCTAATAAAATGGAAGAGGTGCTGTGCATCTTAAAAAGTATTAAGATGGGTAAGTCCCAGGGTCCTGATTGTATCTATCCCAGAATATTGAGGAAGCCAAGAGAACAAATTGTTGGAGCATTGATAGGCACCTTTGTATCCTCTTTGGCCACAAGCGAGGTCCCAAAGTACTGCCAAATAGCCAATGTTGCCCCATTGTTTAAAAAGGGTAGCAGGGATAATCCAGAAAACTACAGGCCTGTGAGGCTGACATCAGTGGTAGGGAAATTATTGGAAAAGATCCTCAGGGACAAAATGTGTACATATTTAGAAGCAAATAGGCTGATCAGTAATAAACAGCATGGTTTTGTGCAGGTGAGGTCATGTCTCACTAACTTGATCGAGTTTTTTGAGGAAGTGACGAAGATGATTGAGGAAAAAGCAGTTGATGTTGTCTACATGGACTTTAGTGAAGCCTTTGACAAGGTCCCTCATGGCAAACTGGTACACAAGGTGAAGTCATATGGTATCGGGGTGAGCTGGCAAGATGAACACCAAACTGGCTTTGTCACAGACAGTGAGTGATGGTGGAAGGTTGCTTTTTGGAATGGAGAGCTGAGACTAGTGGTGTTGCACAGGGATCAGTGCTGGGATCTCTGCTGTTTATGATCTACATAAATGATTCAGAGGAAAATCTAGCTGGTCTAATTAGTAAGTTTGCAGACAATACAAAGATTGGTGGAGTTGCAGATAATGAGGAGGATTGTCAGAGGATACAGCAGGGTATAGATCAGTTGGAGGCATGGGCAAAAGAAATGGCAGATGGAGTTTAATCCGAACAAATGTGAGGTGATGCATTTTGGAAGGTCAGGCGGAAATTATACGGTGAATGTCAGTACCATTAGGAGTATTGATATGCAGAGGGATCTGGGCGTGCAGGTCCACAGATCACTGAAGGTGGCAGTGCAGGTAGATAAGGTAGTAAAAAAGGCTTATGGCATGCTTGCCTTCATTGGAAGAGGCATTGAGTATAAGGATAGGCAAGGTATGCTGCGGCTTTATAGAATTTTAGTGCGGCCACACTTGGAATATTGTGTGTAGTTCTGGTCACCACACTATCAGAAGGATGTGGATGCTTTGGAGAGGGTACAGAAAAGGTTTACCCGGATGTTGCCTGGTATGGGGGATTTTAGCAACGAAGAAATGTTGAATAAACTGGTTTTGTTTTCATTGGAACACAGGAGGTTGAAGGGTGACTGATAGAAGTTTATAAGATTGTGAATGGCATGGATAGAGTGGAAAATGAGGCTTTTTCCTAGGGTGGAGGTGTCAATTACTATGGGACACAGGTTCAAGGTGCTGGGGGTGGGGGTTTGAGTTTAAAAGAGCTATGCAAGGTAAGTTTTTCACACAAAATGTGGTGAGTGCCTGGAACGCACAGTAGAGGACATGGTAGAAGCAGGCACAGTAGCAGCATTCAGGAAGCACCTGGACAAATACATTGAATAGGAAAGGAATAGAGAGATGCAGATCCTGTAAGTGAAGACTGTTTTAGTATGGAAGGGCAAAATGTGACCATGCAGACTTGCTGATTTCTTTATTGTACCCACCAAGGATTTCTCATGTACTCTATGTTCTCTCAATTTCCTTACAAGTTTCCCCTTGCATTTTTAATAACCTCTAGGAATTCAGCCATATTGAGCCCTCAGTATTTGCTGTTAGCTTTTCTTTTTCTCTTAATCCTAATCTTTATGTCCCTTGACATCCAGGTTCTCCGAACTTTGTGCCAACTTTTGTCTTTACAGGAAAGTATTTGTCCCACACTCCTGCTCCTATGATGCTGCTTGGCCTGCTGTGTTCATCCAGCCCTGCACCTTGTTGTCTCGGATTCTCCAGCATCTGCAGTTCCTACTATCTCTTGTCAAACATGATTTCCCTTTTTCAGACCTATGTTGACTCTACCTGATTGCACAGATTTTCTAACTGTCCTGTGACAACCCCTCTGATTATAGATCTCAGGATATTCCCTATGACAGGTGTTAACTCAGCAGATGGTAACTCACCTCCTGACTCTCTAAAACCTGTCCGCCATCTATAAGCTTCAGATCCAGAGTGTGATGGAATATTCCCCATTTCCCTGGATGAGTGTAGCTGGAACAATACTCTCAAGAATCTTGACACAATCCAGGCCAAAGCACCACACTTGATTGGCACTACATCCACAAGCATCCACTTCCTCCACCACCAATGCTCAGTAGCAGCAGTGCGTACTATCTACAAGATGCACTGCAGAAATCCACCAAAGATCCTCAGACAGCACCTTCCAAATCCACGTCCGCTTCCATCCAGCAGTACTTATTCACCATCATCAGGTCCAATTGTTCTTTATCTATTCTCCAAACATTAAAGAAGGATTTCACTTCCTTCCTCTTAACGTTCACCATGCTATCCAACTCCTTCGATTTCTGAGCAGCTATCTTCAGCACTTCCTGAGGGTACTTGCTAATTTAACAATATTCAGGCCTTCGCAGCAGACATGTGAGAACATCACCACCTTCCAGTTCCCCTCCAAGTTACTCACCATTCTGACTTGGAAATATGTCACCATTCTTTAACTGTCAAAATCCTGGAATTTTGCTTCCCCCCCACCCAGGGGCCATTGTGGGTCTGCCAACAGCACGTAGACTGTAGCAGTTCGAGAAGACAGCTTGTCACCACCTTCTCGAGGGTAACTAAGGACAGGCATTAAATGCTGCCCCCGCCAGTGACCTCCAGCTACAAGGTTCAGTGATTTTTTTTTTTAAAAACTCACCTGTCTTTA